TCTATATAGTGTGTAACTGTCAATATAGAGTTATTAAATTTATTGCTAATGCAATCATATGGCACATTGACTTCTGAGGAAATTTTAGATGGTACTCATCATCAGAAAGGTTGTCTACCCCCCGCTATAAGGCATAAAATACTTTCATTTTCTCAGAAATCGACAGTGTGCCTTATGTCTGAATTCTGGTTGTGCTTACTCACCTCGAACCGATTTTATGTGGTACAGGGCGCGTAGAAATCTGTCAAAAAATGTTTTAGTATGATTTTGGTAAGCTATGAAGGCGCACAGCTTGATGGATTGCCGGAGCGTTACGGCTGCCGTAGTCATGAGCTTCGCGGAGTAATCCGGGTCCAAAACTCTGTCTGCTTCAGGTCCCAAAGTCAAATGAAAAACTGTCTAAATTCTTTCATCCTTAATAAAATAATCAGCGTTGCTGCTTTACCAGGTGTAACAATTACGTTTAACATCCAGGCATCCATGAAAACAGAATTTATTAAATTTAATGGAGTTAGAAGTTAGCAGGAAGTTAGCTCGCTAGTTTCCACTTAAACATGATATAGCATGTTCTGACTGAGAGATTTCTGAAAAATTAAAATGTACAGGTCTGCTATGACTTCCAACATAAATGAAAACAGACAGAAAACTAAACAGCAGTGATTTTTGTAGGGTTACTGAAGTTGGACTAGCTGGTATATAATGATGTGCTACGTGATCGCTAGCAAAACAGCTATGTTAGCATAACATTAGCACAGTGAAGCTGAAGGATGAACGCTAACCTTTTTCCACTCGATAAAAGTTAACGTGAGGATTTCTGGTGGTTAGGGACAAATGCAATTGCATGGCGGGATGCTATAAACGGACAAAACTTCAGTCAGGAGAACAACTGAGGTAATCCATCCACAATACGAGGTTAGTCATTAATATACTGCAACAACATGGGAATAGAACAGCTGCGAGAGAATTCATCATTATTGAATCAATGGTACGGAAGTGGAGGAAGCGCAGTTTTTAGCTTTCCCCATATTCGAAAAGTGCTTCGTCTCTTTGCTATTACTGTCGCCCGGCATAATTTGCAGATGATGTTGTTTGCAGCTGCTGCAATGCTTTCGACCAAAACAGGCACAGCTTGATGACGCCGTCAACATGCGCTATCACGGTAGAGCGGTATAAGTCAAAATCTCTACCGTTGGCCAAATTTATATTGTTTCTATCGTATACCGTTTCTATCGCCCACCCCTAACGCTAGTCAAGTTTTATTAAGCTCAAGTCTGCTGACTTTGTCACAGGCTTAAGGCTGTAATGCTGGAAATCCAGGCCACATTTTGGAGTACGGTCTAGTCAAGGTCTAGTCTTGTATAGTGTAACCTGCATGTAACATCCTATGTGCATGCATAAGTGGACCATAGGTGTTTTGCTGGGTGTCTACCAAATATCAGGTAGTTTCAATGTTGTGGCTGACCTACTGCTCATACTCAGCATGCAGTGTGACCAGTTGTTTATCTGTTTTATTCTTTCCAAAGAAGCTTTTGCATTAGTTAGTAGAGTTGCACCAGCAGAAATGCCTATCTGATGCTGTATGGGCACATTCAAATGGAGGCGTGACAACATAAATTATAAATTAAAGGGTCACCATCTGGTCAAAACAGTTTTGTTCAGGAGTGCTGAGGTATTTGACTCTGATTTTAAGACATTATAATATTTGGTGCAACAAATAATTTAGAAAGGAAATGAAATGCTATATCTGTCACTATGTTCTCTGGACAAATAAAAAGTTAGCAAATGAATTGTCATCACATGGTGCAGATGGGCCACCAGAGGGAGTTGACAGGTGTTGTGCTTTGTCACAGATCATCTGTCTTCCACCAACTCAATTCTGTCTTTCAGAGAATAGACATTATAGGCATAACATTGTATATTCACAGCTCAGATAATAAAATTACCTATCTATCTAATCTGGAGAGACACTGTAATTATTTATGTTTTGCTATTTTTCTTTTATGTGATATGACCATATTATCGATTGTATACACTAGTTTGTATTGTATACAATGTGTATTGTACACTCTATACTTTAGAGTATAGGATATTCAATCCTACGGGTCCCCCATAAATGTACTGTACAAAAAAAGGTGTACACAGTCAGTTGTTGATGATTTGTTGCCTGCAATCACTAAAATTATTTAAAATTCAGATTAGAGTGAAACTCCCCAACAATCAGACAAAGCCCTATGCTCAAGCAGTAGTAAATGGACTGGTTCTTATATAGCACTTTTCTACTCTGACAAGGCACTCGGAGCGCTACAACTTGCCTTATTCACCCACTCATACAAGCACTTTTTTTTTCTTTTTCTATGCAATTGCTTTCTGTCTAAAATTCACACTCCAGTGGATGCATCGAAGAGCAACTTGGGGTTACTATCTTGCCCAAGTATATCTGGCATGCAGGCTAGTTCAGACAGAGGATCTGTTGCTGTTGGTTTTGGCAAGTAAGAAGAAAAAATAGAAGAGCATTCAAATAGATTACAAAATTCTGATTTCACTCTACATTAGTTACAGTCACAGATACATATCTTGAAACAAAGACTACACAAAATGAAACATCTGAAAACGAACCTATAACTCTTTACTAAGATATAAATAATCGTTTTTCAGTTTGTTTTTTAATAAAGCCTAAATGCCAAAAACTCTATATTAGATCACAATAAACCACAGCTAGTTTTCATCATTTGAGTCACAAGCCATCTGTAGAAAACAGTGGTTTTCATCATGGTACCTGGCTGGAGGAGGCTTTCCAATGAACAACCTCAAGGAAAAAAGAATCCCTGAAGTGAATACAACTTGTGTATGAACAAAAATGGACACAACAATATCACATGTCCAAGACTGATCTTCCCAAGTACATGAAAAGCCCATGAAAAGAAAATCCACGATCAAGTTCAAGAGAAATATTTCCATGGCATTGGTAAGGCAGCAAAGGCTGTTGCATATCAGTGAATGCAGTGTTGATTTTTATAAGTAGTAGCTTCCACCAATAACAAGCAATGGCTGTCTGACCATGGCATGTTTGCATTAGAACAGGTAGAATGCCCTTTCTCTGAAGCAAAACTAATAGAGATTACCAATAGAAATTTATTTTTTATTTACTGTAGTTGCAGCAAATTTTTTGCAATATTTAGCTGTTCAGTTAAAAAACACAGAATTCTAACTTTGCCACAGCTGATATTTTTCTTCCTCTTTGAAAGTACATCCTCCGCCAAATAATTTTTACATTTAAAACCCACACATTTTGCTTTCTCAAATGTATTGGCAGGGGCGCAACACCTTGGGTTGGTTGCGTTGATTCAAATTTTCACCTGATGTGTTTTTGTAACCTTTCCTTATAATGCTGTGTCATTTGGGCAGATTTTTGAAACAGTGTTATTATTATTGCAGTAATGCAGCTCAGCAAAATGCACTAGCAAATTTTATAAACTGCTGGATGGCTGACTTTATATGACATGGAAGTGACTTTATACTATACTTATGCATGTTCATCTTCACAGTAAATCAAATCTTTTGTTATTCATTTTTGCAAGTCTATCATAGTTGTAATATAATGTCTTGTCAATTATGTACTGCTATGAAGAATATTTCAAAAATATCAATGGGCATCTTAATAGGTCATGCCATGCTTTTTAAACCTCATGCTGCTTGTTAAATACATGTATTAACATATTTCTTAATATGTTAATTCTGTTTTATATGCATGTGCACTACAAGTGAACTTAATTATTTAAAATATTGCTCATTGTTCTTGTATTTAAAACACCAACTTGTCCTTGAAAAATCTTGGAAAATGCATGCGTCATTGGAGTCTTCCTTAAATCAACAACAAAACCACCCATGATATTTATTTTTAATTCCCACTTCATTGTACCATTTCTTTCAGGTGTCACCTGCATCTTCCAAGACAAATATTTCACAAGATTCACAACAAAAAAATCTTGATTTAGGACAGAGGCAGGTCTTTCCAGCAGAATCCCCATCCTTACCATGTGATTCAAATACAGTTTTCACTAAAAAACTAGAATTACCAATTCCAGCTAACTTTGACTTGAGTAAAGCACAATTTGACAGCACAGTGAACAATCAAATTAGTGCACCACAGGAAAAAGACAAAATGTCATCTCCCACAAGTGAAGATTATGGCTTAGTTAAACCAAGCTTCATGACTCTAGAATCAGTCTCTCAAACAGCTCAAGATAGCCCAGATGCTGCAACTGTCATGTCCTCAGAATCCACACCAACACCACCAGGGTCTGGGTCCCCTCAGCTTGACCAGCTTCTGTCAGATCTGGAGGAGATGAAACTTAAGTTTAGACCAGAGGCACTTAAACCACATTCATCTGAATCCACCAACGAGATCCCTGCAGTTGACCAAATGTATGAGTTCCAAGATATTTTCCTTCAGGATCACGGCCCTGCAGAATATAGTGATATGCTAAAAGTCAATCTATCATCTGCTGCACAGCTTGCAGTAGATAACCCAGATATTCCCATTACAGAGCATCCACATTTCCAGACATCCATTCAGCTTGAACATGAAATGGTCTCAGTCATTCCCGATGTAACAAAACTTGTCACAAGCGTACCATCAAGCTCTGGTCTTCATAAAGACAGTTCTGAGTCCTCTAATGAATCCCTTTTGAGCCCAGAATCTTCCCAAAGACTTTGTGAAGAAATGGAACAACCAAGTTTTCATGTGGATGCATTTCAGTTAAGCACACATGGTCTAAATAATACTCAGAAATTTCCTTCAGTTGCTACAAAGAGCAAGTCTGACATACCTGAGAAAGATATTTGTTGGGAAGATGCTACAACTGACATTCTTCAGAGTCAAGAAGCACATGAATTAGCTTTGCCATCTAATGACTTTAAAGGTGTGACAGAATCACAGACTAACCCAGATAGACTTCAGTTATGGGCAGCAAACTCTGTTGACAGTATACATAATGAAGATTTGTCTTCACAGTCTCTTTCTGATTTGACTCCTGAGACAGTGATATCTGCAAGAAATTTCAGCTTTGAAGAACTGGTGCCCAATTCCTCATCAAGGAACTTAAAAATATCTTCAGATGAGGACAGGACCAGTGAACACCATTCAGAAGGATCTCTGACTTCAGTAGACGATGAATGTTTTGACTCTGAGTCTTCTTCAGTCAAACCCAAAACTGATTCTTCTTCAGCCTCTGATGAAGAGTACAACTTGCCACCTGGCTATGCAGAGGCCTCCTCTATTTCATCTACCTATACTCAGATACCTTCAGGATATAGTCCTATAGTGCACAGTGGTGCAGACAGTCCAACCAATGAATATTCTGACCCAGAGCCTTACTTTGACTGCAAACAGGGTTCATCCGATTTCTCAGAGCCTGATCCCGATGAATCTGAGACAAGAGCTAGGTCAAGTGGAGGTCAAGCCCAGGATCACTCTAGAGTGCAGGAAAAGTTGAATCAAAAAGTACTGTTGTCTTCTGGAAGTGAAGATTACGAAGACGCTTCTTTTGTCCATGAGCCTCTTTATCATGTAGATGTAAAGAGAGAAGAAATGCAAGAAACATCAGATGAAGAATTCACCTTGTGTGAGACTTCACAACCACCACCTATCTGTGAAACTGCAGCATATCATGATACTGATAAATCTCTGACAAGGGTAAGATGAGAGTTGGTAAAAAAAACTGCAAGTGTTTTCCCCAGAGCTGAGCTTGGCCAAATGACTATATTTGCTTCAGAGAGGAATGACTGCTGGTAACCCTGTAGCCACGTGAATGGGAGCTAAAACTCCTTCTAACCCTTAATTTGTTTTGATTTCACATTTGACTAATCCTAACTTAGCATGTCACTTTGCTGCCTGTAACTAGTAGGATCACTCACAGTGATAACATGAGTTACTTTTTTTTTCATCAGTAGGCACATTTATTGTCATCTAGGTAAGAGCATGGTGTATTTTCTTTTTTTGTTTAATTATAGACTGCCATGTTGTACTTTCAGTGTAATGTACAAAACGACATGCAATCATCTGAAAGTGCAACATATCACTCTGCTTCTTGCTTGCTTTCCTGCAAACCTAGCATTCATGCTGTCATTCATTATTAAATGTCAATGGATTTGTGTTGCTTGGTCAGGAGATCAACGCTGAGCTTGGATCAATGTCAGAAAGTTCAGATGATGAATTTTTGACTGCCAGAATAGTACAAAGAAGAGTTGTCATTCAGGTATCTGATTTAGCATGACTTTTAAACCAGTGTGGCAACTAAATGAAAGCTAAAAACTTTCACTGTCAAGTTACAAATGTTTATTTTCTAACAACCTTAAGTCTTAACAGAAAGGATGAAAATGGGTTCAAATTAGATAACACACCCCTTGATTAACATGTATGAGCCTAACCTGAGAGTTTTGTGCTGATGTGAGCACTTTTTTTTCTTGGTTTATTTAACAAAATACATCTGAAAATGCAAGTTTGTTTCCTGTGTCCCGAAGTCTCTGTTTTCTCACTGAATTACTGCTTAAAAGTTGTGTGCATTATTATACTCGAACATACAGTTGCACTAATTTGTCAGTTAAAGAAGTGAATATTTCACTGACCCAAATGAGCCTGTCTGATTATTAGTTGTCTTGTTTTCCTCATAGGCTGATGAAATGCCAGACCTCCCTGCCCAGTCGGTGTCAGAAGAAAGGTACAAGGATGAAAATGGACACATAGTTGTCAAAAAGGTGGAGAAAAAATGCACTATATGCATTATATGCAGCTTCGAAAGTTAATCCTATATATAGTCGTTAAATGCATTATCTTGCTCAGGTTACCCGTAAAATTATACGTAAGTGTGTTTCCGCGGATGGTGCGGAGCATGAAGAGACGACCTTAGAAGGAGCTCCTCAGGGGTTTGTCCCTGCAGCGGAGGGAGATGGCTACTCTAAGGTTGTGAAGCGGACAGTCGTGAAAAGTGAGGGAGACCACACAGAGGTATGTTCGTTGCAGATGTCCTTCTTCATAGTGTTTTGTTCTGTTTTGTTTTGGGGTTGTTTTTTGTTTTGTTTTTTACCAAAAAATGGAAGGTGTAACATCTATACTGATATTAATATATAAAGTACAGCTAAATAAAGTTTCTGACCTAGGTGACTTTTACCGAACGTGAGCATTCGTCATCATCAAGGCAGGAGACGGCTGATGGCCGCAAGATCAGTCACACGGAAAGGACAACCGTGTTGGAGGGTGAAAGGACAGTGACACACCATGGTGATCAGTCTTTGACCTCTGATCTGCCTACAGCCCAGGACGACTTCAAGAAGGTTTTTAAACACTTTGTCACCGTTATTCCCCAACCACATAACCACATATTAACATAATACTTATACATCAACATTCTTCATGTCTTAGCACCTTAGGTTTAAAAATAATAATAAACAAACAGAACATTGTGAAGATGTTTCGAGTTTCAAATGTATGTTTTTTATTATTTAATCACTTTGAATTAAGAGACTGTGTTCTCTGCTTTTCATGCCACCAGGCATTCGGTTATTTTAGTGGTTTTAGCGGAACAGAGCTCCCTCTGGTGGTAGAAAGAGAGACTATCAAAGAGGATGGAACAGTGGTCAGGAGGTGTGCCTACTGTAGTGCACGTGTGTGTGTGTGTGTGTGTGTGTGTGAAGCTTACTATTATTGACTAATGTTTGCGCATGTTCATTTGTGCTGGCAAACAATTTTTTTGTATTCTTAATCAATTCAAAGTCAAACGTGTAAATAAACCAGTGAGATGTGAGTTTATAATTTTTTAACTCTTGTGAACAACTGTAAGAAAATGTTGTCCCGTGCACTACATTAAAATTATTATTCATGCACTATTTAGTTGTTTTTAGTAAATCATAGTTTTAGTGATTACTTTGTGTTGCTGCTTTTGAGTAGTATAGAAGTTGAATAGCCTTAAATATTCCAAGTAATTAACAAGCAAAAGACACAAAAATGAAAAGGAAAAAGATACATTTTGACACAAATGAGTTTTGAGTAGAATTCCGTAGGTTTCCTAATGGTGGTATTTTACAAACAAGTTTAATTCAGGAAAAACTGGCTCAAAAGAAATTCCTTGGTTTGAGGAACCTGAATTCAGGTTCCACGCAGGGGACGACATGTTTTCAGCCTTAACAGTATGAGTTTTGCAACACAATCTTAAGCTTTCTCCACTAAGAAAATAGCTATGAAGTTGCTCACAAAAAATTGATTCCTTTCATCTAGTCATAGTGATTTCAGGTCCAGATGAACAGAATCAAGTTGTGGGGATTTCCTTACCTGGACGATCGAGCATGCATCAAGACCATGAAGTTGCTGTGCATGTGTGCAGCGAGTATTAATAGAGATGAGAAAGAGAGATCAATTTCTCCCATAACTGCTTCTCAGGCTCACTGTCCACAACTGAATTTAAAGTCCTTCTCTTTACATACAAAATCCTGAGTAATCAGGCTTCATCATACCGTCATCAGACAGTTTTATATTATCCCAACAGAGCACTTCTGCTTTCAGACGGCAGGTTTATTTGTGGTTTCTAGAGTTTCTAAAAAAGCTTTCACATTTCGTCCCCCATGTGGGTGATATAGAGTCACTTGATTATTATTGGGGTTTTCTTCAGAATACTATAGGGTCTTTACTTTACAGTATCAAGTGTCCTGAGGTGATCGTTGTTGGGATTTGGCACTTTATAAGTAAACCTGAATTCAATTCAACTGTGTAAATCCAAAAATGTAATGTTGGATTTACACGGTCTAATCTGTGTGGGGTTTTTTTTTCTCCTATAACATATCTGTAACTATAGCTCTTCCTTTACTTTATTTTCCACAGGTGAATTTTTTCAAAGATATTTATCTTTCTTTATCTATTTCCCCTCCCTGCCTCTTGCTACCTGTCCAGGGCCCATCTGCGTAAAGGTTGCACTCTCACACGAACAGTGGTTGAGGGAGCTGGGCAGCGCAAACAGGTCATTCAAGAGAAAGTGGACCACCCCAGAAAAGGATCGAAAACCCGTGATCTCCAACAGCATCTCCACCAGCTCTTTCACCGCTACTACGAAGAAGAAAAGAACAATGACGATGAGGAAGGAAGAGTAAATGATTGAGTAACACTCTGCCCAACTCCCTCGTTGTGCCCATGCTAAAATCCCTGCTAGTCCTATGCATTAGTCACATGCAATCCTAGTGTGCACAAACACACCTCAAAGCTACCACAGTCTTCCCCTTTAGGACCTGGAAGATGATCTTTAGTTCTTGATTTGGAGTTTTTTCCCTGTGTGGTTTTAAAGTACTTCTGAGTTTCTTTATTTTATATTTTTATTTTTTTGCCTTTTGTGACCAAAGAAAGCCTTTTGTTGATCTCCTGATTGTTTTACTTTCTGATTCAAGTTGTCTGATAGGTTTGTCTTATCCTGTGGTAGAGCAACAGAACACTCAAAGAAAACAGAGCGACACTATCCCCATCAAATAACTCACAAACCTCCGAAGTACATTTTACTTAAAAACACTGGTACTGCTCTTGGAGTAGGTGCTTGGACTGAAAGACGATATTTCACATTGCACTGCCTCTCACAACTTTCACAGATAATCCTTTATGAAAAAAAAACAACTTCTCACTCACTGTACTAGCCTCTGCTTTTTTGATTCAGATGGTCAAGATGTCACAAACAGAAAATCAGACTGTACTGACACTGAATTTAACTGCTGCTGTTGTGTTTCGTGTTGACTATGTGTACTCTGTCTTTGGGAATTATATATTCTATTTAATCTCAACATTACTGACATCTGTAGCCTAGGAATGAATAATCACTCATGTGAACTTAACAGGCATGACTAATCAACATCTGTCAGTTTGATCCTAGCTTTGACTGCTTTGTCGTTGTGTGGATTGCCCTTCTGCTTTTCTTTACCTTGTGTGTGTGTGTGTGTGTGTTTCATTCTTTATTATTATGTTTCAACTAAACATTGTTGACCTCCTCTTTTAAAGTATGGATGTGATGAGTGCAGGTGTGACTGTACGTGCTTTAGGTTTGATTTTGTCTGTGCATTTGATGAGTTAAATACCACACTGAACGCTGGTCAAAAGTTTCTGTAGTTGATTTTAACTTGTTTGCTGATGTTTGTTTGTTTGTTTGTTTGTTTGTTTGTTTTTTCATTTTCGTGTAGAGAAGTTATTTAATTTAATAATTCAGCCCCTCAGGATTTGGCACTGGGAAATGAAATAATCCCAGTTTTCTAATATTACATTTGTGGTAAGATGATGATACACTCAGTGTTTTATTTATGTAAAGATTTGTTAGTTTATCTTTTGAATCCGATTGTTGAAGTAGATAAAGGCGGTTTTGTGTTATGTGTGTGAGTGAATGATTCGGCGTGTGTAGTTAAAGGATGTGTAGCAGTTTCTGTCAGCAAAGAAAAGAAATGTTTATTTTACACAATTAGCATTTGCACTCCTGAATGTCAGAAGAGGAAACCTCCATGCTTTCTGTGCACTGCAATACAAGGTACAGAATATATCAGCCACAGGGATAGTCTCATTGTGGAGGGATTGCTGTAACAAAGCAGGTTGAGAGCTTAAATATATGATTATCCACAGCTCGGAGCATCGCTACTGTTTGTATTTACAACATGCAATGTATTTACTCTCACTCTCACTGTTTATTTTGTGATTTAGAGAAAAAAAATGCAAATTAGTGGAGATTCACTGTGACAGATATGCTTTTAATTTGAAGACTCAGCATCCCTTCTCTGTGATGATGACCCGTTATATACATATACAATGCATATATAAATAAATATCTATAAAGGCATGTATTACTGTATCAAAAGTCAAAAGTGCAGAAAAGAAAATGGCTGCAGTGTATCTATAGCTGAGAATAAAAATCTACAAATGTGCAGTGTTGTATCTGATTACATCTTTTAACTGTAAAATGGGCCATTTTGACATGCCAAAATAGTAGCTTGGGTGTATTGTTGATGGTTGTGTCTCAGGGGAGGTCTTGCATAACCAAGTTCAGAGCTTACTGGAACTGAGAATTATTAATTCCATCTGTGCTTTTCTAGAAACTACTTTACTCTGCTTCTTTATTTGCAAGATGGCGCCTTGTCTGCATATTTGACCATGAATATCATGCTGGATTTTCTTCCTGACTTCACTCCAAAAGGATTTATGTCTCAGAACTGAACTGGGGAGCTTTTGTTTGTTGGGAAAATGTCTAATACACTACACTTTTTCTACTGTGACAAAGGAAAAATTTTCTTAAAAATTTTCTTTTTTAATTCCTGCTACATCCAGTCCCATCAGTTTTATAATAAAGATATGTTAGGCACATGTACTTAGTAGAGTTTGTACTGCCTCCTGCTGGGCATCAGGGGTAACCCAGAAGAAACAGATTTCCATTTAAACTCAAGATAAATGGGTTGCATGAATTTTACCTCACACTACACATTTTCAAAGACACAGTTCCAGTCTTTAAAAAGTATTACAAATGATCCATAAATCTGCACCCATGTTTACTAAGAGTCAAATCAGCTACTTGGGAAGAAATGGTTTATAAACAGGACAGCTTTCATCACAGTGGGTTAAGAGATTGATTTGCCTAATTGACACATGTTCAGGTCTGTGTGAAATGCACTCTTCTGGAGATGTGATCTAAAGATCCTTTCCTTGGTTTAGCACCCTGCAGTTGTCCTTGTGCAGTAGCCCGACAAAGCTAGAGAATTCAAGAACTTGTTGATGGTAAGAGGGTTGAAAGGTTAACAAATCTTCATCCAAGGAGGTCATTTAAGGTTGAACTGCTTATTTAATACACTTTACCTCCATACTACCAAGGTAAGTAGAATCCAACTTTATTGATCATAAACACATGTTTCACCTGGTAGCTTAAATATTTAAATGCTTTCTCACACATTTTCAGTCCAGTCCTCACACCTGACCATTTTCAGGGGAATATTTTTTTAATCAATCATTCATGCACAAAAAGGCATCTAACTACAAGGATCAACCAGTGTTGTATCTACACAAAACAGGCAAATTAGCAAAGAACATATTTTTAACTGCATCTTTAGACAGTTTGTTACTAGCAAAAGCACATAATTCTTTTCCATTTCTTTAGTTGAATACAAAAAATAGCCAAAGATAACACTTTGAGGAGTAAATGGTAATTTTGCAACAACAAGGTGATTCCCAAAGCGCCATCAACTCAACACTTGGCATATTTCGACATCGTGTACAATGTATCCTTAAAAAATTTGAGGAATCAGGACAAAAGAAGACGTCATAACAGTGATTGTCTACAGTCATACTATAAAACACAGCTGAGGCTCTGTCATGGTTTGGGGCTGTATTTTAGTCAGTGTTGTTGGAGATCTTGTCAAAATTGATGGAATTGTGAACAATCATATTTTGGTCCACCATGCAATACCATCTGGAAAGCATCTGATTAATAACAGCATCATTTTCAGCCGGAAAATCATCCCAAACACACTGCTAATGCAGTAAAAGCATACCTGCGTAGAAAAAAGATACGTATGCACACTATCAGTCATGGATTGGCCTCCCCAGAGCCCAGGTTGTACATGTTGTATTTCAGAGTATGTTTAAACATGAAAATATAATATAAGTCTTTAAATATCCAAATAATCAGGCACAACAATATAGCCTGGTCTGGGCTTAGCATTTCTGAAGCACAGCCATCTAATCACACAGTGACCAAACCACAGGACACAAATGCATGAAAAATCAATACCAAAATAACACAAAATAAAATTAAAACACATCAATTATCACATATTTTAGCTGATTTATTTATTTCTTAAACATGTTAAGCCATCCATTGCCATGCTGGCAACAGTTACACACCAGATAAGGAGTGGTGTATTGCATTGACATCATACGTTTTGTCGAAAGAAATGTTTATCATATTTTCCCTTTTAAAAAAGAAGAGACAAATCAGTCGAAAAGAGCAAACAGTAGGGATGACAAAGACACTGCCATTGTCCTGCAGTGGTAAGCCCACTGGCTAGCAGAAGCACTGATCGCCAAGGAAGACATCCCAACATTTATTACAGTCCATTGCACTTTCTCTCCTTCAATTTTCTGATACCATCCTCTTGCCTTGGTGCAACTTTTTCATTACAGTGCTTCCAGACCTATTAGTCCGACCACCAGTTTGTATCACTTGACCTGACAGAAGGCAAACCTTCTAGTGCTTTTGTGCCATCTTCATCATCTGCACCACCTCTATGCAATTGGCAAAATAACACACTGATATGACAAGAATAAAATGACAAAAGAAACCCTACATACAGTTATACAATACAAGTACAAACGTTATGAAAAATGAGCTTGTTTTCGTCTTATTTTTTGTACAAAATGTAAGTGGTGCTTCGGCAACCCGGAGTTTATTCTCCTTCTCTTAGATATGAGATTCCGATATTTGGATGGTAACAATAACAATGTTATTGTTTTTACAACAGTTCCATGATGCTGGAGGACATTAGAAACATTTGGACAGGACTGATGCACAACATTAACAAATACAAACAAACAAGTCAGTGACTGACAAATCAAACAGAAGATATAATAGTTTCATATGATCTTAGCACGATAACACCCCCCTCCCCCCACCATGCACTACACAATAGTCTTGGATTTTCATATATTACATATATGCTACATTCTCTTATTTCTTATTTCACTTATATAAAGGCAAACATATCTCAACGCAAGTGTAAGCTGCTCTGCTTTTCTTTACATTTAAATTAGTACTATAGATTGAAATCTGACAATTTAAACAGTATGACTTAGCTCATAGCAAACATAAATGTAGCTCATAAACTGGATTTTACGTAAACTCTTAAGTCCTCTGATAGCAAGAATAGCAATTTCAGTATTTGTTTTTGTTGTGTTTTGTGTTTTTAAACCAACAATCACAATGTATATACATCACCAGAACTAAAGCAAGCTCAATTTTTAACATTCTGATCTTCCAAATGTTTTTGAATTGCACACACATAAATACACATAAAAATACATAACTATTTTTTGGGGAGAGGTTACAGTTGTAGATCTTTAAAGATCTCTATTTTATATTTAAAATGCATACCAAAACATCTTAAAAAAACAAACAAAAAAGATTTTTTTCTCAATATGCTTGTTTCATAATGTCCAAATACGGTGTGCAGCCACCCAGTGGTGGTTTCGAATGATGTCCATTAATAAAATGCCATAACAGTAAAATGTAGTAATACTTGTTTCCTGTGGTATGTCATATCCTTATGGAGGGGTCAAAGAGCAGTCATGAACTCCACTAGATTTGCTGATGAGGGTTCTTTTTTCTTTTTCTTTTTTTTTATGTGACCACATGTTGATGTTCCATTAACTGAAAAGACAGAGAGCAACCATGTGAATCATTGCTGACAAGACAGCATAAAAAGGATCTTTTGAGAAAACATATTAAGGCATGTAATGGCATGTAATGAAAAGCACACATCAGTGAAAGTGAAAAGTACTGGCATGGTACTGGCATGCAAACAGCTCTGCGATACTATTTACTGGTAATGTCCCAGAAATGCCAACAAGACACTTGCACAGGTGTGTTCAAATATAATGCCAATATTTATACTTAACCTTTGCAAAGCAAACAGTTTATGCACGATATTATGATCATGCCATGCCAAGTGAACATTTCCCAGGCTCTCAATTCAAAACAAATCAGCAGGAGTTCTTTCACTTTTAAAGAAAGTCTGCACGGAATGCTTAAGGTGATATTTTATGTTATACAACTACAGTTTCAGCGCATTATACAGCCCCGATCAAAAGTTTAAGAACACTTGAAAATGGCAAAAAATCATATTTTGCATGGTTGGATCTTAACAAGGTTCCAAGTAGAGCTTCAACATGCAACAAGAAGAAATGGTAGTGAGACAAAACGTTTTTTTGAGCATGCAATTAATTAAAAACAACGGTTAAACTGAAACAGGCTTTATGGATTTATGGATTTATAAACTATTCTAATCTTCCCAGATAGAAAGAAAGAAAAAAATCATCAAAAATTATTCAGAAACTTTTTAGCTACCAGTGCTCGTAGCACTGGTTTACATAATCTAGCTACAATGCCGTCCAAACATATAGAGCCACCATGCATTTATAATATTTTGCTTCCATGGAGCCAGATTTTCTTTTTTTCCAAATTGGTCTTTAGCAATAATTCTCCTGGCTTTCTGAAGTTCTTTCAGTTGTTTTCTTTGCACAGTTATTCGACCTGGCCACTTTCAGAAGATGATTTGTTGTTGTTGTTGCTGTGGTTTATTTTGATTTGTGTTTACTTATTAGGCCACACAAATGAGACTATGAATTGTTCATTCATAAAAAGGTACCTTGCTGACAGAATTAACTAACCAGTGTTTGTCTATATATAACAGAGAAATGAACAAAGAACTAACTTTTGTATCTTTAGGCACTTTGTTACTGAGAGCCTTGTGGAAAAACAGTTCCTGAAGACCACTTAAAGATATTAGAAGAAAGCTAGCTAAGACAGTTCAGATTGTGTTGGAGAATAAAGGTGGTCACACCAAATATTGGCTTTGAAGCTTTGATAAAGTGATAGAGTAGGAAGCCCAGGACATAGAGGGGGGTTGTGGTTAAATTAATATTACATCATACCGTAATACAGAAATTCCCTGCTTTCTCAATAGTGAAGTGATAGCTGGTACTTATTTTTATCTTAGTAGGAGTAAGGAACCTTCGGGGAAATTCAAGAGCGACAATGCCAAGCCTGGTATAATTATTTTTGCTCTAACAATAAAAGGATGTCGCTGAATCACAAAAGAACGCACACTTCATCGAACAGCTCATCCTGGTTACCTCCCTTTTTTCACCAAGCAGAAGCAAG